TTTTTTTGCATCTACATAATTCCTTAAAAATTGAACTCTCTTCACAGCAATGTCCGGAAGCTCCATGAGACCACGTCTTGGGTCTTCTTTTTTCCATTTGAAACCTAATTCTTTTAATACAATCCACAATGATGTAGCACAGCCATTAAACATTTGCTTCTTAATTAAATTTTCTCTTAAAGATTCCAAAGTTATATGTTGTTCTGCAAATAAATATGTGATTAAGTACTGTAGACATAGAAATTTAAACTTTTATTAGAAACATAAATTATGATTGGATGAAAAATATATCTTGTACTTACTTCTTTCATACATGTTATAAATAACATTTCGAATTCCACTTGTATCCAATGTTATTGTGTTAGTAATGGTTTTTTTTGTATGAACGCTTTTTAGGTGGCGATTTTAATAGTTCATTATTCTTGACTGCTTGGGAAATACTACTGACAGTAGAAATATTTATGTTTAGAGCCGCAGCAACTCGCTAAAAAATGCAATGAAACAATTTCATATTTCTATACATTTCTATAACTTGTAACTTACCTCTCTTACAGCAGTTAAAGGTAAAAGTGGTCCATCATTATCACGTTCTCGTTCAAAATAGTGGATTAAAGAAGCTATCAACTCCTTACAACGACTATTTAGTTTTTTAGGCATTTTGTATTAAAAAATAAACGACCAAATAATCGTCTTATTCACACAATGGTTGTTTAAAAAAAAAACAGTTTTTTATAAGTATAACTAGCAAAGCTTAAAAATACAGGCAAAAGAAGACAAAACGCACAATCGAAAATCAACTAGTTAACATAAACTCATAAACATAACCTATAAGTAAATCAGGGAATTTTTTTAAAAGGCGGTTGCAACAGCGCAACAAGGTGTACCAATTGCCGTAATGACATTTCTTCTCTGTAAATACGAGTCTCATGGGCGTACAGAATGTCAAAATTATTTAATGTAAAGTATTATTTTTTGAGTACTAAACATATAATAATATTTTTATAAATTTTATATTATCAAGAATTAGACATGTATAAATTTAATAACTGAAATAATTCTAAAATTATCAAAATAATCACCATTATATTTTTTGGTTTTTTAGTAATATGACTCCGTTCATGAATGCTCGTAAATATTCGTGACATTTTCGGATTTTTAGCTTAGTTAGGGACATTTTAATTTGTTGGTAGTACTATGACGAATGACCGACGTCATTGCTGACGTGCATCGGGATTTGTATTAAAAATACTATATAAAAAAATATTCCTATAATATTAACACGCCACTAAACCCCCAGTACGCGGGGATTACTTTACTAAATGATGATGTAGCTGTTTTCTTCTTATTGTAATCGGACCCTAATCATGTCATCAATTCTTATGAATATGCTAATTAAAAATGTCCATAATTATAAAATATTTTTTGTACTTACCATTTTCAAAAAGTGCATTAATACCACCAGCAGTCAAGATTACACAAATACAGGCACTAATAAATTTCATACCGAGAAAAATAAATTGGCACACAACACAATGTTTTAATTTAAATGCATCTAAAAGCAAGTGTATACCTTTACGCAAATTTAAACAAGTCAACAAAAAATGTGCAAGATAAACACAATTTATATTTTAGTAAAACAAGTATTATAATAATTATACATGGTGTTTATTAATTAAGTGCCAATACTTGGTTGAGTTTACGAAAAAATGTTAATAACAATATATGTCGTAAACCTCTTAGTTTTTGAACTAAGAAAAAAATAACTTTTTTATCATAATTTTCTTATCACCTCAGATATTTTTATGAAAATGCACACACCTTTTTTTAACGTAAAATATTTTTTAAATTTTTACCAGTGACGTCTGTACAGGGTTTGATCTGACTATTTTTAAAGAAAAAAAATGGTACGCCACTACTTTTTCTAAAAACCAAAATTATTTTTGAAATCCTTATTTATTTTGGAACAAATTTAATTTATGTACTTAATTTTATAAGACGCACCGTTTTCGTGTAAAAAAATTTTAACTAAAAAATATTTTTTTCTTAAGTTCATTGAAACTGTTAATTATTTTATTTATTATTTCAGTAGATATCCATTGTTTTCTAAAACTACCGAGTGTACAAATGAATCGGTCATTTCAAAAACAACATAAGTCAAAAAAATAAATTTTCAGTAGACACAAACAACTTTTTTACACAAAAATACATTTCTTTAAAAAATTATATTTCTTAGATAAGGTATTTAATTAACTACACAGTGCTTCTCAAAAGTCCCCTCCCTCCCCTCTTTTCTTTTGAACGGTGATACTTAGATTGATGAAATGTGGAAGGTGAAAATGAACTATTGTAAGCTCCTCTACTACAGTCTGTTCGCTATACTTACGCGGGTTTCGGATTAACAAAATTATACAAATTAGTCATTGATAACCAGTTCCGATAAGCCTCTTCCCCAGAAATTAGGTAAAATTGACCTAATGGTCAGATTTAAAATAAAATAACATTAGGGTAGGTACTAAATTTGTTACAAATATTGCAGTTGAATTGATTCTTGACAAGTGTTGACATTGTACGTATATTGTAAATTTAGTGGACATTTTAAAAATGCCTAGACGTGTGTTAGATGTAGATAGTCTAATTTGTAGTGTACATAAGTATTTTACGGATGAAAAAGAAAATGGCGGTCCTTTAAAATCGGTAATATTTGTACAACAACGCGTATGCGATGCTCTAGGAATTAGTGAAACCAAATTAAGAGGAGTATTACAAAATCACAATAGTGAACTGCCGAAAGAAGATCACCGCAAAACTCGCCCATCATTCTAAACGAAAGATATTCCAGATGGAAAGAAATTTGAAATTCGTGATACCATTTATTTATAGATAGAAAATTTAACGACATTGGCAGAACAAGTCTATGGCAAGTGAAACATAACTTGGGTTTAAAATTTCAAATGGAGGATAACAGAAAGACCCTTTGTGAAAGAAGTTATGTCGTGCACAAGAGAATTCACTTTCTAAGAAAATATTCTAAATTTAAAGAAGAAGGGGCGAATTTTATATATTTAGACGAAACATGGTTATTTTCTAGGCGTGCAACCAAGAGAATATGGCAAGATGATAACGTAAAGTCCATCAAACATACCGATGGAGAAGGGAAGTGACACATAATTTTACATGCAGGAGTGAAATCGGGTTTTATAGAAGGTGCTGATTTAATATTTTCATCTAAATCAAAATCCAGTGACTATCACGATAATATGAACATAGAAATGTTTGTAAAATGGTTGCATGAAAAACTTTTCCCAGGTTTAAGTGAGCCCAGCGTAATTATTTTAGACAATTCACCTATTAAACAAAAGTCCAACGAATTTTTTGGACTGTTGATACAATTAAAGAATGGTTGACAAAGGAACATATACCATTTCCTCAATATATATTAAAATCAGAATTATTACGCTTGGCAAATATACACGCAAAACCAAAAACCTTATTATAGAAAGTTACGGTCATCAAGTTTTACGTCTGCCAGCGTATCATTGCCAGTTTAATCCCATTGAATATATATGGGGAATAGCAAAACAATATTATGACAACCATATTGGGCCTAATGGTTATAGTGACGACGCAGTTCGGGAAACTTGGCGAAAAGCACTTTCAATTGCAACTCCAGAAGTGTGGCGGAACTGTATATCCAAGTGCGAGAAACTAATAGAAGATTGGTGGACTCGTGAAAATAAAATAAACGAAATAAGTCCAATCATAATAACAATTAATGGTGATGACGATTATGATATTTTGGATGATAATGACTGATTTTCATTTTTGTTGGCAAGTTCAATTTTTTTATTTTTCATTTGAAATTCTCTATATGGAACAAATTTTTAAGTTAGAAAATATTTTATTTGGGCTAAATAACTCTCTTATTATGCATAGACCATATTTTCTGTGTGAAGTGTAATATAAAATTATTATTAGGTTTATAATAGCCACATTAGACTCCATTAATGAATAGGTTTAATTCTGTTCTCAATTATACAAAAGATTCTCCATTATTATTTAATTAAAAAGTTTTACATTATTTTTCATTTCATTTAACCAGTTGATATTTCTTCAAAGAACAGGTCAAACTTTCGGGTACTTACCTGGAAATACTCATAAAATTTTTAATCCGAAACCCGCGTAGGTATATTCTCTACAAATAGCAGCATATTATTATGAACAATGTGCACAAGATACACAAGATGACTATTATTTTTTATGGATACCCCTGGTAATAGAACCCCCTTCTCTTACTAACTTCTTAGGCGTTTCTAGTGATAACTAAAGTATTCTTTTTTGTAACAACTTCATTGATGGGGTGGTTGGGACTTGACTTCGTTAGCGTTGGAACAATTTGCCTCTAAGTTGTCAGTTACTTCATCAGTATCAGTTTCTTTTGGTAGATAATTTGCTGTAGGAGTTGGAGGTTCGCTTAAGACTTCTCGTTGAGGTTGAGATTGGAAAATATCTAACTCAATTTCAATTTGTTGAAGGTCTTGACAAGTAAAAGCTTTGCCTTCAATTATCAATTGGCTACCTTTTAAGATAGTTCTTTTATTCCTTTTAATTTTCATGATAGAGCCATTTTAATTTTTTTAACTCATATGTGTACGTTTTATTCATTTTTGTGCCTGTTCCAGTATATATTATAATCAAATGAAGATCAACAATACTAACATTGTAAAATTTTGTAGGTGAAACTTTTTAACTTCTTTTAAAGAAACTTTAACGTGAACTTTAAATAAAAGTTTGCTTTAGTAAAATACGTCTTAGTTATGGTTTAATTATAAAATTAGCCAAAAAAGGCGAATTTTACTGTCTCTAAAGCTGGATTTATAAACTTCATTCGGTTCGCGTTCAGTTCACGCTCAGTTCGAGTCCAACATATACAAAGCAGAATATGCATTGACATTTATAAAAGAATAACTTCACCATTTTAATAAAAACTATAAAATCAACAGTAACAATTTATTAACAAGTATTACAATTTTCTTATAACATACAATTACCACCCTTCAGTAACAATTTTATTAATATATAACATATATTTAACAGGCCTGATCCCACTTCTTCTGTGCTGTTTATTCATATTAGCATATCTAGACCAATCACTAGCTCTATTCTGCTTTTCGATGGGTTTTAAGGTGGTAAAATAAATATTCTCAATATTGCTAGATTCAGATTTCATTTCAGGAGGTTGAATAATTACAGGCTGGCTGTAGTCTTTATTACAACCCTTACTTTCACTAACTTCAACAAAATTTCTATCTTTAGACTCTTCTAATTTTGGTAAGGTTACCATGGTGGTGCCTGGTTGGATTGGTATATTGATTTCGTCGGGATTAAGTACTTTTTCTTTATTAGAACCATAAACTAAATTATCATTTAGTACTTCTGATCTATCAGTAAACCTTCTTTTTGATGTAAAAGGTATATTACGGGTAAGGGTGCTGTATACTGAATGTTTTTGTTGAGTAGAAGGATAATAAGGTGTGTATTCAGGTTTGTAATAAGTTTGGTGGTTTTGAGGGTAAGAATTTGGGATTAGATTAGTATTTTTCGTTGGAAATCTAGCAGTTTTCTTCTGTCGTTTTTTGATTTTATGCGTGTGTTGCCACTGATCGATTTTTACAAAATCTTTCATTTTGTTTCCATAAATAATGTTTTCTCTGTTGTTAACTTTTATTAAATTATTCTTTTTAGGTCTATTACTGCTGACTAAGTTGTTGATTTGCTGTATATATTGCTTAGGTGCTATCTGATGATTTTTTTCATATTTTTCTAAATGAATCTCATATACCGCTGGTACTTTTACAACTTGTACTATTTTTGAATACTCAGAATGATCGCCTACGTTATGTAAAATGTGTTGTATTTCTTTCATATCCATAACATTATTATTTTTTTCGATATTTGATACTTTCTTTTGATCCATCGGTACAATTTTTGACTCGGCCATTTCAGAATCAAATATTGGAATTTGTACAGGATACTTTCCAATAACAACTTGTTCGCCTTTTAACAGGCTACTCAAGGGATTTGTTGAGTTTATTTGAGTGGTACTTCCTGGCAAAACTGCAGTATCTTCATCTAGTCCAAACCCATATCCGGCACCGATATTTACATTGAAGGATTCATTTGTACTGCGTTTTTTCGGAATCTTTGTTGATATAATACCATTGTTTTGTGGTAGGAGGAGTGTGAACTAAAAAAAAAAAAATAAATTTTGTAAATATAAATAAAAAATGTGCATACAAATTTAATTTAAACTAGAATGAAGATATACAGAGAGTTCTCGTTAATTGATGAATTTTGATTAAGAGACTTAGTTGTGGAGTTGTCATAAATCAAAATGCCTGTAAATATTTTTTTTTAAATTTGGTAACTTTAAAAGGAATTTATTTACATAAACTAACTTTTGAAAAATTTAATCAATGGCGCACTATCAGAGTTAGTGGCAACTTTTCCCTTTATTTTTTAGGCCATTGGAAGAAATATTTTTTATTTTTTTTATTATTTGTTAATTTTTATTTAAAAAAAGTAATAACCTTATATGGAGCTAAAGTAAACGGTGTAGTAAATATTTGCTTTAAAAGTGTGCATGTACTTATATTCCATGCCTTATTGTCAATAATCATAGGTATTTTAAAGTATAAAGATTCTCAAAATTATTTATAAAGATCCAAAATAACAACTATTCATGCCAGTCCTTCCCACCTCTGCTCCCGTTCCGTCGTAATCAGATACACTCTTACATCATTCTTTCTTTTCGTGCACAAGTGGTTATTATCAAAAATACATAAATGGGTAAATTAAAGAACATTTTTACAACGGGGAACTCTACGTTCTCCGAGAATTGCAAACTTAAAAACAAAATTATAGAAAGAAGCTTAATGAAAAAGACGACACCGAATATCACATGGATGTTAAACAAAATGGAGGCACAAATGGTAAACGGTTGCAAATTTTTTTGTTTTTAGAGATAGATTAGAATTAAAAAATATAGAAAGTATATACTGTGATACAGGCTAGTTACTGGTTTATGACTGAAACGTGTATAGTGTATATAATTTAATGCATGTGAATCTATTCGCTCCGTGCGAAGTCATGGAAAGGGAAGCAAAAGCGATACTAGCGCTAGCTGCGGATAATTCGTGCATTTTAGGGCGATATTTTGTAATTTTGGCATATCAAATACACGTATACATTTTACTTTTTTTCAAAAAAGTAGGTAAAAACAATACAATAAGCAACCGGAGTTGCTGTGTTGAAAATTGTACAAATACTAGCAAAAAAAATAGTGAAACTTATATAAAAAATTTCAGTAGCAAAGTGGAAATTAAATCAAAGCAATAAATGGATAGGTGTACAACAAGAAGAAAAATTACCTTTATTTTTGTAATAATAACAGTAATGCTGGAAATAGTAGACATCAGAAACTTGAAAGGTGTTAAATAAACAATAAATTATCATTTTACGATGTTCTTTAATACCCCTTTATTCTTAAATCTTCATTCAGCAAGGACTAGATTTCACGATTTCTGCCTTTGATTAGTATAAATATGTGGCTGGAATGCAATATTGTGACTTACTGATGAGAAACCAGTTTTAATCATTCATTCTGTGTTTTCTTTCGAACAAAAATGAAAATATAAACAACAATCCTCTTTTTATACATTTTAACTTCACGCTATTAAATGGTATTTTTTTATTTTGACAGAATAGGCTAATTCTTCAATGACAACTTATTAGACTTCTCATACATTTTTCAGTAAATACTGTTGCCTGCCTATATTTTATTATTGATGTTTATTGATTATACATAATTTTCTTTAATTTAAGCAATAAAAATATATAATAATAATAAATTAATGTTTTACTTGTATTACAAATCCATATACTTTTATTAAAACTAACATATATACTTTTTAATTACGAATTCTATTAAAACTTGTATTTGTCAGTATACGCAGAAATAGTCCATTAGTACCGAAACGAATTGGCGCTGCTGTCGCGCACGGAGCAAATACAGGTCTTTCCCGTATTTATTATGCAGGATGTACTGTCAAACAGGCTATTTAATGGTTTATTCGCGATTCAAGCTAAGTGATACGCCCTCTGGAGGAAATTTGTAGAAGGTCCGAATAAGTAGGATATCGTTCAGTGTTGCCAGAAGTAGCAAAACTTCGCTACGTCGTCGGATTTTAGCTCTGGAAGAAGTGGTTAAAACCTTTTATTTAAGAATCAAAATTTGTGTATGTTATGATAATCTATATTTATTTAAGGATTTTTTTATAAAACCGATTTATTATATTGATTTTTTTTAAATTTCAGTTCATTTATTAATTTTGTTTTAAAATCAGTTCATCATTTGGCAACATTGGCGTTCATGTTCATTGTTTACATTTTAATTTGTATCAATTACAAATAGAGTTTTTTTTTACTTTTTAGCTTTAAATTTGTTTTTTTCTTATAGCATGTGATAGTGTTTATATTAAAAATGAAATCTGTGACGAAGTCCCCAGAAAATTGCAATCTATATGGTGTTAATGTCAAAATCAAAACTGAAGATTCATTATTTTCCAAGTACAAGTCGTAAAATTTTGTTTTTTACGATAAATGGATATCTACAAATTCACAATATTGAAATTTTACGAAACTTTGTTTAGAATCAAACTGAAATCTTATTTTTTGACGGTTTTATTACCATTTACATGTATACAAAGTACTACGTGATTCACTTCATAATATAAGAATAAGTCTAGTAAGATTTTTAAATAAGTTCATCAATAATAAACGTGTGGTACCTGAAATGTCCTTTAAACCACATAATACAACATGTCCTGGGTTTAGTGAATACATATTTCTAGATGTTCTTGTAGTAACCAATAGGTAAATATTTCCAACAAATTAAGTCATACACATGATAAATATTATATTTATGACGAAAGCACGAGACTTAAACTTAAATTAACACTAAATGAAACTCAAAAACACTATTACAATGAGAATATTATCTAAAAACAGTTAAAAAAATCACAAATACAAAATCCGTCCAAAACAAAAACATGTAAATAAACAAACATCCTACTTATAGATGACAAATGACAGGCGCGCGAAAATTAATTTGAATCGCCAATAACTGAGTCATATGTCTGACAATGCCTGTGGATCTATGTAGATTCTTTTCCTGTTTATTATGCAAGGTGACCGGCATAAAACAAATAAAATGATTCTGAAATATTCACAAAGGTAAACACCTTTTATGAAATACAAGTTTCCTTCTATTTTAGATATGAATATTACAAAATACTCAATAGGCACTGTGAAATACTATACTATTACTGGTTTATATTATATTATATTATACATATTATATTATACATATTATAACTGTCATAATGCATGATTTAATGCATGGGAATCTATGAAGATCATTTTCTGTATAATATTCACTTTGAAACAGGCTAGCTACAGGTTTATTTTATTATATAACAATAAGAAGATAAATAAACTATCTATCTGTATCTGTAACGTGTGAAGGGTGGGTTACCCCACGGCACTTAGGCCTCATTAGGCCCATTGTGCATCCTTCTGAGAAGATAGGCACCTCGTAGCTCGTGAGCCAGCCTATAGATTTAATGTAGTTGATAACGTCGCCAAGAGGTGCTTCTCTTATATCGGCCGGTGTTAGCCGATACTCGCCGAACACAAATCCTTTAATAAATGAGAGCGTTAAGCAATCATAAAGGATATGCTCGATGGTTTCATCTTCTTGTTCGTACCCTCTGCAGAGTGCGGATTCTGACAGCCCCATGATATGGAGATGTTTTTGTACTTGGCAATGACCAGTCAGAATGCCTGTGACTAGGCGTCCATGCCACGACTCTAGGGGAAAAACCCCAGGTACGCCCCGCGGATCGGCGGCATTTTTCATAAGCAATTTATGCTCTTTTAACTATATATTCTAAATGCGAGTTCCATGTTAACTTGTTGTCAAAGGTGAGACCTATGTACTTCACCTCTGTTGCAAAGATTAGTTTTGTGTTTAGGAGTTCTGGAGGTTTTAATTCCATTTTCAACCTTTTCCTTGTGAAAAGGACCATTTCTGTCTTCTTAGGATTAAATAAAGTATCTAATTATTTGTTTTATTAAAACGGTCGCCTTACTAAAGAACTCTCATGTGATTTCAATTGATGCAGTGACGCCACAATATGTTTTTATGTACCATATTTCATAAAAGTACCAGATATTTGAATTTTAATTATAATGACTAAAAAGTTTTCTGTCGTCTTATAGAGAATTAAACAATTTGACACGTGAAATCGACACCCGCTGGTACACATCACAGTACTAAATTTAGCTACGAGTATAGTTAAGTACCAGATTCTTTGAGAATGTACAATAGTACTAGATTGGCAACAAGGTTTACAATAGAGGAGAGGGCGCAATAAACCAATGACTGAATATTTCTTTTTGGTAGTGACATATTTCTATGTATCATTGAACGGTTATATGCATGGCATGACTTAATAGTTGAGGATCTATGCAGATTTTTCCAGTTTATTACACTCTTTATTTAAAGCTCGTTGCCTAATTATATCACTATATCACCATTTTATGGTGGGTGAGGTTTTCCGGGTTTTCCTCTCCTGTAAGTCAAATGGCACCATCAATCATCTTTAAGTCGCCCCGGAGCGCCACGGCAAATAATAGTAATAACTGTTCCTTTCCCCGCATAAGCTCAGCATTTGGGGTTAAAATTCACTCGTAAGGGGATGAATTAGGGAGATTATTATTATTATTATTATTAATATTACCCAAACTTAACTAATTAAATAACCTTATACCAGTATTTTGTAGTTTGAATTTCATACTTGAAGGATGAAATTATTATCAAGGTGTTACTATATTATATTAATCATTCAGATAACCTTATAGAAGTGTGTTTAGTTTAAAATTTTTAATGTCTAATTATAAGCCGGTAAGAATGGTATAATTACCCAAAATTATCTTCTTAAATGAGTAACCTTATACTAAACAAAGGTATAGTTTGAAATTCTTACTCCGGGGATGGAATTACTGTGTTAAAGAATGTAACAAACTGCTGTTATCATATAAATCATACACAAATTGTTGTTCGGTTAATCTTATAGAAGAATGGCTAGTTTAAAATTTTTTACGATTGGGACGGACTTAAAATGA